AGAAAAGGAGATATTTCATATCAAGAAACAAGAATAGATAAGTTCAAATATTATTTTTAAGTGAAAAATCAAAAGTGAAAATTCAAATCAAAGTGTAAACAAAAAGTGATACAAAATTATTGTTCAAGTGTTATAAAAGTTTAAGTGCATATTGTGCAATTTAAGTGAACCAAAAGGATATTCAATTGATTAAGGATTACAACTCATTGTCAGTAAGCTTATTTTTAATATATTTTTGTAAATTTTTGCGCTTCTGTTTTAATAGTTTTTCACATTTTTTCAAAAAATGAATGAACCAACTGATATTTCACGCGAAAGAAAATTAAATATTCAAACCGCCATTGCTTTAATCCCGAATTTCAATGGGGAACCTTCAAATCTTCCTTCATTCATTACTGCTTTTGATGCATTGTCGGTGGATTTGAGTCCATCAGAAGCGGAAAAATTGCTTACAGTAATAAAATTGAAATTAGACCCACAAATTGTTGCAAAAATCCAATTTATTAATTTTGATAAGTGGGAAGATTTAAAATGTTATTTGATTAAAGAATATGTTGCTAAACGACCAATTGCTAGTTTAATAATTGAATTAAACAATTTAAAACGAAAATACAAAGAAACAGTAAAAAGTTTTGGAGACAGAATTGACGAAATATTACGACAAATTCATTATTCGAACATAATTAGAGTAGGACATGACTATGCAAAAACAACACAAATTACATTCGAACAAGTAGGTATAAAAGTTTTTGAAAATGGCTTAACAGAACCTCTAAGAACTTTAGTCAAATGTTGCCGATTTTCTGATATCAAAGATGCTATTGACTTAGCTTTGCGAGAAGAAGCTTGTCAAAATTCATCAAATATTAGAAATGATCAAAATAATAATATAACATGTCACAATTGTAAAAAACGTGGGCATATTGCTTCGCAATGTTTCTTAAATAAAAGGAATATCGCTAATTCAAATAATGATAATCAAACATTTTGTAATTATTGTAAAAAACCGGGACATTTAATTTATGATTGTAAAAATCCCAATCGAAGAAATTTCAATATAAATCGAAACTATTATAACGCATCAAAAACTTTTATTACTCCTACCAACGAACACAGACAAAAATGTAACTATTCGTACACACATTCAGAAAATGCAACAAAAACCTCCAACACACATACTAAGAGTAAGTCAAACTGTGACGAAACCACAAATTCCCAAACCCAAGACTCAAAACCTTCAACAACATCAGACAACGATACTGTTACAGTACGTGAATTACAATCACAAATTTGCAATTCTTTTTTAATAAATAAAACCGACCAAAAGGAATTAAATTTCAAAAATGAAAATGTTTCATTACAAATTGAAAACAAAAATTTTTGCACAAAATCAATCAAAGATCAATCACAAATTTGCAATTCTTTTTTAATAAATAAAACCGACCAAAAGGAATTAAATTTCAAAAATGAAAATGTTTCGTTACAAATTGAAAACAAAAATTTTTGCACAAAATCAATCAAAGAACAAGATCCAAGATACGACAAACAGCAAGTAAAAGACAAAGACGAATTCAAAGAAACGCATGACAAAAATGCTTCAATTTTAACATCAAATAACGAAAAAGAACAGAAAGACAAAATTTTAAACGACCCACAAATTTCACAAACGCACAAAATGCACTCATACACAGATTTTACAAACAAACGTTCAGAATTACAAACAAAGAAAACAATCAAAAAAGTTGATGAACCAGAGGTAATCACAACTACAAACAAACATCGTTATCAACAAACCAACGCAAAGGAATCCTATGACAATAACGCAAAATACGGAAGATTTAAAAACGACGATTTAGAATTATTAACGGACAAAAACCCTTATGCAAGCAAATCCAAAAAGTCAATGCCTTTATTTAAAGATGCATACAGAGTTTGTGAGACAAATGATACAGACGTTCTAATGTTCAATCATTACCAATTTTTTTCATTTTTTTTTCTTTTCAACATATTATTTGGTCGTTGTGACAGCGGTGTTTTACTGCCAACATATTATTTGGTGAAAATGAATACAGATGTTCTAACGTTCAATCATTATCAATTTTTAATTTTAAATTTATTTCATTCTTATTAATTTTAAATAGTTGATTTATGATTATTAAATATAGCATAATAGATTATTGATAATCAATCATTAATTATTGATTTCAAAAAAATCCATTGTTGACTTATTGATTATTAGTTATCGATTATTGATTGATTGAATATTGATTATTAATTATTAATTATTGACTATTGATTATTGAATATTAATTATTGATTATTGATTATTGATTATCAATTGATTTTATTGATTTTTTTTGTAGTATACAAATAGTGAACATAATTTTGATAATGATTCCTTGAATTAAATAATAATTGTAATTTTAAATTTACCTAAACAAATTCAAGTATTAATTTAGATTTTATTGCAAAAGTTAATGATTTAGTTAATGTTTAATGAGTAATTATCTCAAGTTTTAGGTAAATTTAGAAAATATCTTGAATAAATTTATAATTTTATAGAATTATTAGTTAAAGAAAATTGAACTTCCACATTTTTTATTTTCAATTTAAATCTAAAAGCTAATTTAAGAATATCCAAGATTACTGTTCAAACGTATTGGGGATTGAAAATTTTTTTTTTTCCTTTTCGTGATATTTAATACTTTTTAGTCAAATCTAATGAATTGTTGCGATTTTTGCTATTCATTTTTCTTGAATTGAATAATGTTTTTTTTTTGTCTTTTGGTGTCAGTTTTTTTTACGGTAGCGCCGGGAGTCGCTACATTGGCGAGGGAGGTGTTGTACACCCCTGATATTACAAGTTCCTAACCACTGTCATAATATTAGATTCCTAACAAGTCCAGACTGAAATCTTAGAACCCTTGAGCTTTAGCTGATATTAACGGTTCATATTAACTTTTCTCAGACTACTGCGTAGTAGCTGACATTAACATTCTCTCACGAAATCATAAATCTACGTCGACAAATCTCAGGAAGATCTTATTATCGACATTCCGCCTAGTTAACAATTCTCACCAAGTTCGCATGAATAACATTTTGTTTAATCAGCTAAATCCATTACATTGTCCTTTTCGTTGCATAGAATATTCGAGACAAATCCCCACTACGTTTCAAAGGATTTTAGTTTTAATAATTATGAAATAAATCAGTCTTAATCTGTCGGTCGCCGGGCAAACACTTCTCTTCTAATACCTCCGAGTTCCTTGTACTTAAAGTGAAATAAAGTGAAGTTTTTGAAATAGTCTTTTATTTATCAAGTATCTCAAGTATTTTCAGCAAGTGAGTTTTTCAGGAAAATCGGAAGGTCCAGAGCAACAACACCGATTTGCATATAGCGGCGCCAACAACCCTTTCTGTTCATCAACGCGGTGTCCAACATAATTATTTGGTGACAGCGGTGTTCGACTGCCCAGCATATTATTTGGTGACAGCGCTGTTTGACTCCCAACAACTTATATAGATTTTTTTTTATATTTATTTTAAATGTTTTATAACAACGTAACTAATAAATAAAGTTATTATTTTGTACATTTATTTATGATTATTAATAAATTTTGTACGATAATTATTAGTAAAACTTTCCACGATCACTAAGCCACGCCCCTTTTTAAAAACACGCGTCAAAATTCACTATAACATTATTATTTTCTTTATGAATAATTATTATTTTATTCTTCTCGTCGAGACTAACAAATTGCTATAAGGTATTATGGTATTGACATTGATATCTAGCGTAAATGCTTGCTGAAACATTTAGGCCACTATACAGCGGCAGTTCCTAAACACGACGACCGTGAATAACCGTTTGCTCGAGGGTCAGAAAACATGCGAGATTTTAGCCTGAATTGCGAATGTTATAAAAATCAAATCATTAACAAACCCTACAATTTTTTTTTTTAAATATACAAATTCTATAATCGATATTAGTGAAATTCAATAATAATTGATAACATAATAACATATAAATGTGCTAATATTCGATAATAAAACAAGAATTATTTATTTGATGTTGAAATCACTACAAAAATTAATATACTTATATAGATTTTTTTTATATTCATTTTAAATGATTTATAACAACGTAACTAATAAATAAAGTTATTATTTCGTACATTTATAACCTTAAATATTCTTTGATTCATTCAAACAAATGTTGTTATTTATATTTATTTAAATAAAAATATCTAAAATCAATTAAATTATATACCGAATGTTATGATAAAAAAATTAAAATAAATTAAAATGAGTATTGAATAGTAAATTAAATAGTATTATAAATAAAATAGTAAAATAATAAATAAATAGTAAAATAATATATGTTCATTTTTTGAATAAAGTTGTTCGTCCTGAGAAGGACGGTTTTATGTCAATTTGCGACAATAAAAGAAATTTAAGCTTTCTTTTCTGTCTTCTTTGGCAAAAGCACAGCTTGTATGTTCGGCAATACACCGCCCTGAGCAATCGTAACACCCGATAACAGTTTGTTCAGTTCCTCGTCATTGCGGATGGCCAGTTGCAAATGACGCGGAATTATTCTGGTCTTCTTGTTGTCGCGAGCCGCATTGCCGGCTAACTCGAGAACTTCGGCGGCCAGATATTCCATGACTGCAGCGAGGTAGACGGGTGCACCAGCGCCGACACGCTCGGCATAGTTGCCTTTGCGTAGCAAACGATGAATACGACCGACTGGAAACTGAAGACCGGCACGGTTAGACCGTGACTTAGCCTTTCCCTTGACTTTACCGCCTTTGCCTCGACCAGACATGTTTACAGGTTCGTGTTCAAACTGAGAATGATATCAAAGTTCTCGAACGGGCCCGTATAGATTTCTGAGCGTTGCAAGCACACGCCCATTTTTTTGTAGACACGCCCCTCCCTTGCCTACGTACGTTGTTACGGCTTCAGTCAAAACGTTGAAGCAGTACGAAAACGGAGCGTCGGCACGACTCATTTCGTATCAGTCAGTGTACTAGTAAACATCAGACATGCCACCGAAAACCAGCGGTAAAGCGGCTAAGAAAGCAGGCAAAGCCCAGAAAAATATTTCAAAGGGCGACAAGAAGAAGAAACGTAAGCGCAAGGAGAGCTATGCCATTTATATTTACAAAGTCTTGAAACAAGTCCATCCTGACACGGGCATTTCGAGCAAGGCGATGAGCATCATGAACAGCTTTGTGAATGATATCTTCGAGCGTATAGCGGCCGAGGCATCGCGTTTGGCTCACTACAACAAACGCTCTACAATCACTAGTCGGGAAATTCAGACAGCAGTCCGGCTATTGCTACCAGGCGAGTTGGCCAAACACGCCGTCAGCGAAGGTACTAAGGCCGTAACCAAGTACACCAGCTCGAAATAAAATGATGAAGATTTTGTGATGCCACTTATATGTTCTGTCGACAATAACAAAGGCCCTTCTCAGGGCCCACAAATATTTTACAAAAGAACTTTATAATTTTTACATTGGTTTTATAGATAAAATAAAATAACCTGACACTAATGATATTTTATTAGGATTTTCAATAAATTTTGATCAGATTTCTATTAGAGATCGTTATTATTAATTTATATTATAAATAATGTTCAATTTCTATATATTTTCAATATGATAAAAATTAATGATTGAATATTCAATTCAATTTAAAACTTTAGTTTTTCAAATTTAGTTAATAAGTTTAAGTTTATTTTAATTTATTATAAAATATATTTATATTAAAAAAAATCGCAATTTAAATATTTTCGTAAAAATAAAATTATTGTCGTAAATATTTTAAAAATTTTATTATTTAAATATATAAAATATATTATTACATATTATATAAATTTAAATAATATGCAAAATTTAATAAATTCATTCATTTAATTGAGCTCCTTCAATTCAGAGCCCTTTTCGAAGCCCTTAACTGTAAAGTATACTAATACTAAAAGTATACTCTATTTTCTATTAATTGAAGCCCCCCCCATGTAAGAAAAGAAATCAATTGCATATAAAAAGTCAATACGAAAAAATAGTAAAATATATATTAATTAATACTTTCTTTAAAACATATTCGAAGGGCTTTCCAATTTGATAATATTATCAATAATATTACCAAAGCAAGTTATTCTGCAAGAAAATAAACAAATTTCATATAAAATCAAATAAAGCCTGTACGTAAATTGTAAAATATATTACTTGTTCTTTTAATTATATTTGACAGCCCTTAAAAGGGCTCTTTTTTGTTTTGTATTTATAAGAAATGACTGCGTCCGTTGATCAATTTAACCGCCGAAACCGTACAGTGTACGACCCTGACGTTTGAGCGCATATACGACATCCATAGCGGTTACGGTCTTCCTCTTGGCGTGCTCGGTGTATGTGACTGCATCGCGGATAACGTTCTCGAGAAACACTTTCAGAACACCGCGGGTCTCTTCGTAGATTAGACCCGAGATACGCTTGACGCCGCCACGGCGAGCAAGACGACGTATAGCCGGCTTTGTAATACCTTGGATATTATCGCGAAGAACTTTCCTGTGTCGCTTAGCGCCACCCTTTCCGAGTCCCTTACCACCTTTGCCACGGCCGGTCATTTTTCAATATATCGCAGTCGGGATAAATTTACAAATTGATGTTAACAGCTCGAAGTCTGAATAACGACTGAATTCCGACGAGCGAAATTATTGAAAAGTTTGAGCTCGCTAGGCCACGCCCATCATAGCTATGCGAGCATTCGGCGCCGACCAATGACAGCCGAGCACAGCATCGGACATTCGTAATGTATTTTGATCATAATATTCGAGCCGGACGCGTCAGTATCAAAACGATCGTCAAACGAGAAGGTTCTCGAAACGAAATCTAGGAGTTATAATGGCCCGTACGAAGCAGACAGCTCGCAAGTCCACCGGTGGCAAGGCGCCCCGTAAGCAGCTTGCAACGAAAGCGGCTCGCAAGAGCGCGCCGGCGACCGGCGGTGTGAAGAAGCCGCATCGTTATCGGCCTGGCACCGTAGCTCTGCGTGAGATCCGTCGTTACCAGAAGAGCACCGAGCTTCTCATACGAAAGTTGCCGTTCCAACGTCTAGTGCGCGAGATCGCTCAGGACTTCAAGACCGATCTGCGTTTTCAGAGCTCCGCCGTCATGGCATTGCAGGAAGCTAGCGAGGCCTATTTGGTTGGCCTGTTCGAAGATACAAACTTGTGCGCGATCCACGCCAAGCGCGTAACCATCATGCCCAAGGATATTCAACTAGCTCGGCGTATTCGAGGAGAACGCGCTTAGACGCCTGTCGTCCTATAAAACAAATCGGTCCTTTTCAGGACCACCAAAATGATCAATTAAAAGAACTTTTATTATTTTTCAAATTATTTTATTTTGCAGAATTATTCCATCGATACGTTAGAAATTTTTATTGATTTTTTTTTTTAATTGAAATTATTGACAACACACATGATTTGACTTGTTGAATAGTGTGTTGTTGTGTTAAGTTTAAAAAATATTATAGTTGAATTTGTAAAATTCGTCATGAATTTCTGAAAGCTTCTTTAAAAAATTCTAAATTTAATTAATATGGGCGAGTTGCCGTTCTGATGATAGAAATTTATATTATATATATTATATTATATATATTTTATATATAAATATTTTTTTTTTATTGTATATTTTTTAATTTCATATATAGTTATTTAAAGTTATATAAATTTTCTTTTTCGAATACGATATGAAAAAAAGATTGAAACTTCATAAATTATTAATGATTATATTTTATTTCATTAATTAATTTCCATTTACTTATTATTTATATAAAAAAAAATTAGAAAAAATTATGAATTTAATTATTATGAGAGTTGCCGTTCTATGTATAGTTGATTTATTTAAAGTGATATATAAAACTTTTATTAATAAATTATTGATTATATTTCATTTGATTAAGATAATTTATTCATATAAAATTATTTAAAAAAAATAATAAATAAATAAATAAAATTCAGCGATTGATATTGAACAACTCCCTACCAAAGACGAAATTGAAAATTGAAAAGACTTTGACTTTTAAATTTCGTCAATGACACAACACGGCGGCGAGGAACACAGCGAGCGTTGCTGCGCTCCTGTTACAAATATTTTATTAAAATTTTTTCCGAAGTCCACGAAAAGGCTATAATATAAGATGATAAGATATATATAAGTAAAATAATAATGTTCTTTGATAAAAATTTATTGTTAGTCCTGAAAAGGACTTTGTGCAAACATTTTCGTTTGCTGTTGTGTAAAAAGATAATGAAATGTTTTCACTTCTTTTTCGGTGACGCTTTTTTCAAAGGTTTGGCTACTTTTGATGTCTTCTTTGGCGATTTAGGTTTCTTTGCGGCTGCGGTCTTGACGGTTTTCTTCGTTTTGCTCGTTGCCTTGGCCGATGAGGCTTTCGTCGACTTACCCTGAATGGTCTTCTTCTTATCGACTGTCGTCTTAGGTTTCGCCGACGACTTTTTTAATGTGCCCGCTGCGGATGCAGACTTCTTTTTAGGGGACGAAGCAGGTTTGGCGGCGCCCTTCGACTTTGCTGTCTTCGATTTTGCTTTTGCCGCTGGCGTCTTAGCGGTCCTGGCTTTTCCAGCCGAAACACCGCTTTCGCCGCCGCTCTGTTTAGCGTTCGCGGCAAGTTTGAACGAACCCGAAGCACCTTTGCCTTTTGTTTGAATCAGTGTGCCCGCTTGAACAGCTGACTTTAAATACTTTTTAATGAACGTTGACATTTTCTCGGCGTCGATTTTATAATTGGCCGACATATATTTCTTAATCGCCTGCAGCGACGATCCGCCGCGTTCTTTCAGACTTTTAATAGCGTTGTTTACCATTTCAGATGTAGGAGGATGGGACGGCTTCACTCGCGGTTTTTTAACAGCCGCAGTCTTGCCCTTTTTCGGCGATGCTGTCGCTGGCGCAGCGGTTGCCGCCGGCGACGTAGATAAAGCGTTATCTGACATTATAGTAAAAAATCGTAGGTTAAAATGTAAATCTAACACGTGATTGGTTAAATATGTTAGGGGCGTGGCCAAAAACTATATTCGAAAAGTGTAGGACCGAGGAGAAAACAATAATATTTGAAAATTTTACAAAAATGTAAATTATTTGTAAAAAATTAAATCCAGCGCTTTTATTCTAAATAATTCGCATAAAACAATGGATTTACATGATAGCCAAATTCATCCCCAACATATCATCAAAAGCATGATTTATTTCAACGGTTAGTTTTTCTAAAATATCGCTAATTATATTCAAATAACTTCTGCACTCAATAGTGCGTTTTCAACAAAATCGTTATCGCATTTTTATGAGCATTGAGATATGTTATATTTTGATGCGATGTAATTATACTTATATATCCTAGAAACAGTTTTTGTAAATTTTTATTCATAAATAGTATCATAATTGTTCATAAACTGTCATTGAACATTCATTTGAGTACTCTATGAATCTATACTGAACAATAGCTAATATAAACGATTTGATTAAATAACGAATATAATATTTTATTAAAATAAAATATTATTTGTATGAAATAATTAATTATATTTACGATGTAATACACTATCAATACACCAACGCATAAAATTCGGTTAGAAATCATTTGTGTAAAACATTATGTCGCGTCGTGCATTCAAGTTCAAGAAGTGTGCTCTATTCTCTTTTTGCATAGTATCTAATAAAATAATATTATCGTTATAATTAATTATTTCATTCGTAGTTTTCAAAAGAACGATAAAATACAAAACAGTAAACAATTGTACTGTTGTTTCTTGAAATAACTTGAGTCAAAAAATTCACAAACTGTTTATTCTGTAAAATCATAATATTTCTATCATATTATATTTTATTAAAATAAATCGAATGTATAAATAATTTAGTCATTAATAATAAAATATAATATTTATGTTTTTTTTTTTTTAATTCAATTGTATAGAATAAAATAATAATATCTTATATTCATTGCCGAGAAAAGATTATATATTAGTTGATATTTAATAAATATTATTTTATTCTTTTATTCTTGAATGCTTGCTGAACTGAATATGCGGCTCTGCTGCTATATCTAAACACGCTGACCGTGAATAACCGTTTGTTCGAGGGTCAGAAAACATGCAAGATTTTAGCCTAAATGGTGATTGTTATTAGAATTGAATGACTGGAGAACCATACGAAATTTTAACAATGTATTATAATTTATATGGTTTCTTTATGAAAATATAGAAATATTGTCAATAATTGCTGCAATCTAAATGTAATTTGCATTTCAATAAGTGATCAATCACACAGATTGCTCTCTACTAGCTAAACAGTAAAAGATACGAAAAAACTTTGTTCGTACGAAAGATGCAGAATAAAATCACGAATAAAATGATATATAAATCGTTATGTGTGTTCATATAATTTTTTCGAGATTATCTAATTTTTCT